GTGCCACAACTCACAATGGTTTTCACATGGTAAGGACAAGTGCTCCACAGAACACACTTTGGGAAACACTGCTTTCAGGGAAGCTGGTGCCAGTACAGAGAACCCTGGCCAGGAAACTGTGACATAATCGGGGGAACAGGTCTGTGAGCTCCGGACTGGGGTAACAGGGAAGGACGTCGTCCCTTCTTGATGGTATGATGGGGGCCAGCCTGCCCTCCTACTAAACAGCTCCCATCCTCTCCAGCTACCACTCCCGGAGCCACACAGTGTCAACACTAGTCAACGCTTAGTCCACTGACATCCCCACCCTCAAAACAGCAGCATCCAAACACAGAGCTTCCCCTGGCCGCCCCTCCCCAATCCTCCAGCCTTGCAACAGCCAAGAGCCATGAACCCAAACCTCCATCTGACCCTGAGCGGCTATCGGACCCACCTTCCGAGTCTAGTGGTTCGTTTCAACTCAAAAGTTCTATGTGTTGTAGTCTGTGCCCCTCTGGGGTCAAACTCAAGTAATCCAGGAGAAAATAAACTCACCACTTTGCAGAGCTATTTACGGGAAACCTGCCTCGTGCCAGGCCTGTGCTGGGTACCATATACCCATTATTGCTATTCCTCAAAGCATCTGACAAAGTAGGCATCAATATGGTCTTTTTACAGATGAAGAAATCAAGGCTGGATGTGGCTGGCAGCCAAAGACGCCCCGCTAATGAGTGTGAGATTCACGACTTGCACCTGGGTCTGACTGCCGAGTCTCTCCTGAAGGGTGCACTTCCATCAGGAGTGCCGGGAACGAGGAGCAAACGCCCCCTGCACGAGGGCAGGTCAGCGGGAACCCCGCCGGTGACTGGGACCTGAGAGCTCGTCCAGGGCCAACCCTGAGGGCTCTGATCGGAGAGAATTATCTGAAGGCCACCCGGTGCAGGCAATCCCCAAGACGCGATGAGGCAGCGGGGCCAATCTGGGGTCAAGAATTCTGAGGCACTGAAGCTTCAGCCCCGATTGGACGCGTCGGGCCAGACCCTGGGTAATTACCGAGCCATAACAGGATCTGATATTTATATTACTCACCAACCTGACAGAGAAAACGTGTTGTTTTTCTCAGACACACAGCCATGGAGACAATGCCTCAATAATTCATTACATGCAGACCAGGCTTGATCAAGCCCAAACTTCCACGGGGAGGACAGCTCAAACTGAGGCCAGGTGCGGGCCTTTGCTGGGCCGCATTCGGGTCCCCCAGCCAGCCACAGCTCTGTCAGAAAGCTGGCCTCGGTTTCCCCAGGCTAATCTGAAGAGATTACCCTGACGTGTGCTGGAAGAGGAAAGAGCGGCAATAAAGACGCAGAGGCACCGTAAGGCTGAATTCCTCAAGAATTTGCCAAAAAATTGCAACACACATTCTGAGCTAGAAACTTTCCCCGTACTCTCTCGACTCCTGCCAACCACGGACACTAAATCCCAGAGCAGGAAGGGGCATCAGAAGTCACAGAACTCAATCTCCACATTTTAAACACAAGGAGAAGGAGACCAGAGATGTTAAATGAGTTCTTCAAGGTCACGGCCTTAGCCAGGCTGCCTGCGCTTCTCACTGTTCACTACAGTCTGCAACTGGATTGGACCTCAGAACGTCACAGCCTCGTGAACACAGAGCTCTGATGAAACCCAACAGAGAAAAACAATACTGTGAAAAAAGTACAGCAAAGAACACAGTACTGGATGATGGTGCCCAAGTTCTTAACAGGGGGGAAATGTGACAAGGTCTCTTACTTCCCCCAAAAAAAGTCCACATACCATTCTTTTCAAATTACTAAAGTCACTCATCATTTGAGATTCAGAGGCCAAAGTGCTAATGATGAGATGCCCCATGAGAAACACCCCTTAAAAAAAAAAAGGAAAAAAAAGGAAACATCCCTAGCCCTGGGTTCCTTTGATCAAAAAAGACGGTAGGGTCCCAGAGGCCAAGTACTTGTGACGTCAGAGCACCTTGCTGAAACTTACCTCCCACGGAATTTCAGATGCTAAAAACCAGCCCTCCACGGGACCCCAGCTCCTGGCCGATCATCCTGGGACTGAATGAGGGCGAGAGTGAGCACATCTGACGGCCAACAGAATTCTGGGCAAAAGCAGTCTAGGTTTGCTTGGGAAGCGTGGCGCTAAAACAATTATTCCAAGTTTAGGCCAAATGCATTCTTCTGTACGGATCTCAACAACTACCAAATACTTGGAAAGCAAAAAGAATGAAGGGCAAAAAAAAAAAAACCACCAAGAGGGCAGTAAAAATACAGACCTCAGGGGCAGAAAGAAAAGCCTAGGAAAGGTCTAAGTTACTATTTACAGGTGTAATGAGCTGGCTACACATGGTTCAAGTGAGAAAATCAAGGGGCAGTTATCAAGAGATTCTGGGCATGTTTTAAAGTGTGCTCCAATGGTATCAAAAGTGACCCGACACGGTCCTCCATTGGCCTCATAACCTCCCAACCAACTGCAGACACCTCTTGTCCCAGGTGGATTTTTGGTAGAAACTTCCAGTTATGTCAACTCAGCCGGCCTTGGAACTACAAAATACAGTCTAATAGACAGGCATCTTTTTTTTTTTCCAATGATCATTGCCAAAAACCTATTTTTCTTGAGAAGGCTAACAGAAGTTATGCTTGGTCATCGTTTATGAAAGAGATTCTCTATGGGAACGATCCCATCAGCATTTCATCACAGGTAGTGCAGTGGCATCAGTGAACCCCTAGAGTAAAAGGAGGTGGGAGCTGTGTTTAAAACCACAGGATCACAGAAACACCCAAACTTATTTGGACTTACTGAGAAAGTTTTCATTAACGATCAAGAATGTCCAATTCCTTAAGGATGAGGAGGCTGTTAAAAACTTCACCAAAATCGCTCAGGGGCCTCGAACATTTTAGATGCCCATCACGGGGAGCTATCCCTCCTCTGAGGACAGACTCAGACTCTCTCAGTAAAGGGGAAAAAACAAACAAAACTCCAGGACTGGACTGTGGGAGGAGGAGGAGATGAGTGAATGTGTGATCAAGAAGGCTCCATGAATAATCGGTTGAGAGGAAGGCAAGAAACACGGTCGCACGGTCTCGGGGTTCAGACTCTGCTTAACCTGTTTGCTTCTCTGCAATATGAGAGGCTTCCCACCTGGACAAGTAGGGAGACACCTCTCTGGAGGAGAAGGTAACTCCAAAGAAAGCCCGCTGGCCAACATCTGGAAGCCTCCAGAGAAGTGGGAGGAGGAGGAAGAGAGAGAGATGGCTTTTATTCTTCTCCCTTATTTCCAACACACCAGTATTTTCCAAAACACAAATGTGCTGCCACAAAACACAGCTGAGCTCCAGCACCCAGCGCCGTGTATAATTAATGATGGGGAGAGAGCGCCTGGGGTCACCCTGTGCTTCACCCACAGCCCCTTGGCTTCCCTACTCGCCGTGGCAACCGAGGAGGCTGCTACAAGTTGCCCAGCCCTACTCGAGTTCCAGGGGTCCTGGGATCAACTTTACTAGGAAAAGGTGTGAACATCCCCCCCAAGACCTGCTCCGCCCTCCCCGGGTTCCCCTCTTCTCCTTCATCTCCCCTCCGGCCGGCCGACCAAGAATGCTGGCGCCGTGAAGTCCCCTAGGATGCGAACTGCTCAAACACAAGGCGGCTCGATCCCTCCTTTTTCTCTCTCTCTTTTTTTTTTTCCAGTTCTTTCTTTTTTAATTCTGCTGTCTTTGATGAAAAACTGCCCCAGCCCCTCACCTTCGGCCAGTGGGGGGCGGGGGGGGGGAGAAGAGGACATCTCTAGGGACACGGCGACAGACCAGGCATTGAGCCTAGCAACCGCACTTAAGGTGTAGCGCGCCCGGGAGCAGGTGGGCGTCCCCGCGCCAGGAATAGCTCCAGCCGACACCCAGCCACCTCGAGAGCGAGCGCCGGGGAGCGGGGAGGAGGCTCCCGCACGGACCTCCCGCGCCCGCTCCCCGCCGCTGGCGGCATTTCCGGGGACCTAAGGAGGGTGGCGTGGGGGCGAGAGCACAGAGGCTGGAACGCGGGGTGGGGGTGCGTTCCACGGGCACATCCAAGGGACGGCGAGGCAGGTGGCACCGGCTGCGCGACCTCGCACATTCCTGAAGTGGCGGCCTCCGCGGGTTGCCTCCAAAACTGGGAGGCGTCTCCCCAACTTTCCCTCGCGGTCCCCGAAGTCCCCCCTCCACTTCCCCTGGCCACGTTCCTCCCCCGGGATTCCCCCGCCCAAAAGGTTTCCCCCTCGCTGCCGACTCCGCCAACTCGTCTCCCCAACAGGTTTCTAGAGTGCGGGCTGCCGTGCCGCCCCCCTCGCCCGCCACCCGGGCCCCCACCGCCCCCGCCCGCCACCCGGGGCACGCGCGCTCCGCTCCCCGGCCCCGCACCCCGGGCCCCGGCCCCCGGCCCCCGGCCCCCCCGCCCGCGACCCTGAGCTCTGCGCGCTCCGCTCCCCGGCCCCGCACCCCGCACCCGGGCCCCCGGCCCCCGGCCCCCCGCCCGCGACCCCGAGCCCCGCGCGCTCCGCACCCCGTCCCCGCGACCCCGAGCCCCGCGCGCTCCGCTCCCCGGCCCGCGCCCCGAGCCCCGCCCGCCCGCCCGCCCCCGCCCGGCCCCGCGACCCCGGCCCCGCGCGCTCCGCTCCCCGGGCCCCCGGCCCGCCCCCCACCTCCCCGCGACCCCCCGCCCCGCGCGCCCCGCTGCCCCCGCCCCGCCGCGCCCCGCCCGCGGCCGCACCAGGAGCCAGGGGCCGGGACTGGGCGCCCGCGTCCCGGAGCGCGCCGGTCGGGGGCAGGTCGGGGGCAGGTCGGGGGCGACTCGGGGGCCCCGGCGCGCCGCCCTCCGCGCCGAGCGGGGCGCGGGGAGGGCGCGGGGCAGGGCAGGGCAGGGCAGGGCAGGCGGCGCGGGGAAGGCAGGCAGGGATGCGGCGCGGCGCGAGCAGGGGTGGGCTGGCGCAGGGGGCGGGCGCCCGGGGCGCGCGTTACCTTGGTCTTGCCCCCGCAGTGGCAGCACACGGTCCACAGGTACTTGAGCGTCCGCCAGAGCAAGATGATGAAGAGGCCCCCGAAGAAAGTCACCATGGAGGAGGCCAGGAAAGCCCACCACATGCGCTGGCCCCGGCTGTCGCACGGCACCTCCATGGTCACCGGGATGATGAGCGCATCCATCTTGGGCTCGTGGACCGAGGACGAGGAGGAAGAGGAGGAGGAGGAAGAAGAGGAGGAAGAGGAGGAGGAGGAGGACGCGTCTAGGCTGAGATGGTTCGCGTGGATATTGCTACTCATTCTAAGACTGCTGCCTCCGCCGCCGCCGCCGCCGCCGCTGCCGCCGCCGCCGCCGCCACCATTTGCCATAGCTAGCAGCGGGCGGCCGGCGCAGGGGCTCGGGGGAGCTCCTCCCGCCGCCAGCGCCACCCCGAACACCCATCAACAGCCATGTTGCCGCCGCCGCCGCCGCCGCCGCCGCCGCCGAGCGCGGGGAGGGGGCGGGGAGGCGCCTGGGCTCGGGGCGCTGTGCGCGACCTGGCGGGGTGCGCCGAGATATATACGGAGGGCCGCCGCCGCCGCCGCCGCCGCCCTCCCCCGCCGCCCGCCGCCGCCGCCCGGGGGGAGGGGATGCAGCGCGCCCCGCCGCCCGCTCCCCGCCCGGCCCGCGCCCCGCCGCCCCACGCCCCTCGCCCCACGCCCGCCGCCCGCCGCCCGCCGCCCCGGGCTGCGCCGGCCCCGAGCGCGGGGAGCGAGGACGCACCGCGGGCCGCCCGCGCAGGGGGTCCGCGCCGCCCCCGGGCCGCCCCGGCTCTGCCCCGGCCCCGCGCGCGCCCCGCGCCCCCGCGCCCGCCGTGCGCCACGCGGTGCGCTGCGCTCCGGCCCGGGACCCTCCCCGCCGCGCCCCCGCCGCCCCGGGCTGAGCGGGCGGCAACTAGTGAAGCGCGGGCGGCCCGCCCCCGCCCCCGGCCCCGGCGCCCCCCGCCCCCTGGGCTCCGGCTCGCCGCCCCCGCACGCGCCGGGCCGCCCCCGGGGACCCCCGGGACCCCCGCGCCGCGCCGCGCCGCGCCGCCGAGCCCCGCGGCCTCCGCTCGCGCGGCCTCCCCGCCTGCGCCGGCTCCTCCCGGCCCCCCCCCCCCGCCCCTCCCGGCCCCGTCCTCGCCGCCCGAGCCTCTCGGCGCGCTCCCCGCGCTCCCGCGCCCGCAGCCGCCGGCGGCAGCAGCTGCAGCAACTGGAGCGGGCGCGGGCTCAGGCCGCCCGAAGCGGGAGGGGAGGAGGCTCGCAGCGCCGGCTCGGGGCTCGGCACGGGGCTCGGCACGGGGCGGAGGGCCCTGGGCGGCCGCCTGGCACGCGCCCTGGCCCCCGAGCGCGAGGAACGGCGCCCCAAATCAGGCTCCGGCCCGGGCGCCTCTCTCCAAGGTGCTGCGCCCCCAGCCGAGCGCCCGACCCGGGGAGGGGAGCCCCCCCCACAGGCCGTTTTTACCAAAGGAGCCCCCGGTGGGGAGGGAAGGAGGGACCAACTGTCCACACCGCTGGCCGGACACCCCCAAATCCTCGTGCTTCGGGAGTGAGCAGGACCCTTCTCCAGGATACAGACCCTACTTCGACCCCTTCTGGCCTCTATCTAGTTCACTCATCCCTAACCCTTTCCTAGGTGCCCCGGTGCCCCAAGCATGGCTGGAGGCCGGCGGGTGGTCTGTGGCCCTTGACAGCAGCAGGTGGTTTTTCTGTGTTTTCCTTATTAAGGGGCAGAGACTGCCCAAGAGAGAGAGAGGAACAAGGGGGACCCGGCCTCAGGGATGGTGCAAGCTCCCATAGACAATGGAGTTACCCCAAAGTCACTCCCATTTTATTTAGCCTCAAGCCCCATCGTGTGAGGAGGGCAGCTTGGAGGAAGGACGCTGTAGGTGCCATTCGAGTCTACACCCCCCACCCCCCCACCCCGTTTAGGGCCTTCTCTCCTACCTCCACCCTTAAAGAGGAGGAGGAGCCTGGTTTTGTTCAGCAGCCTCTAACCCTATACCACAGGGGAATACCTCTTGTGACACTCTCAGAAATGTTGCTTCCTCTGTTCATGGCCCTTCCTCTTGGCTACCAGCTGGACCAGAAGTTTTTCTAGTGCTAATTAGAAGGAAGATGGTCACGCTCTCCCCTCATTGCCCACAGTGGTTTCCCCAAAGTTTCCAGCTCATTAGTTTAAGCCTAATTGGAATCCTCAGGTTCCTTTCAGCCCTTCCTGTGGTGAGGGCCAAGTTAGCATCCTTTACTGCATAGGCCAAGCCTGCTTCTGCGGGAGCCAGAGCTCAGCCCTGCCCCTTGCCCCTGGAGGCCCTAGGATGCTGAGGAGGACCCAAGAAGGGAGGCCCAGCTGGGCAGAGAGGCTGAAGAGAATGTTTGCAGCTTCTCCAGCCTCATCTGGAGTATGTTCCTTGGGTTCAGGACACATACCCTTTAGAAAAAAGTCCAGGCCAAGGTCAAAAGGGAAAGTAGAATGAAATCAGGGTTCTTGAGTATTTGGTAGTCAAAAAGCAATGCATAAAAGGGAGCTACAGACAGTATTTTCCAGAAAGTGAAACTGTCACCCGGATAGTGCCTGTAGCCTCATCCTTCGTGTACGGCAGCCTCTCTCAACATGTCTGTGCTGCATTAGTCCCTGCAAGGACCCTGGGTTCTTCCCAGCACTGGGTTCAGGGTCAGCCCTAGATGGCTGTGGCGACGTTGCAAGAAGGTAACAGTGACCTTGAGACTCCTTCGATTTATTAGCCCTCTAAATGGCTGTACTTTGCTATCTTTGGGCCTTAGCATATGCCAGGGACGTTAAGGACTTTCCTTAAATCAAGTACAAGATTTGAAATTTAAAAATAAAAAGAGCAGGGAAAGCTAGGATTGTCTGCCCACAGGGATACGAAGCCCCCAGAATGGATTCCCTCCCCCCTAAAACTGAGCTTCCACAAACCATGAAGCCTCTCCAGGCCTTCCTGGGCAGCCCCCACAACCTGAGTTCCCTGAAATCACCAGTCTGGGGCTACCAGCAAGAAGACACTGGTTGCTCTGACTTCTGTCACCCCAACTGCAGAAACCCCAGCTGTGTCCAGCTGTGTTTCTCCACTGTCCCCGTCACCGTCCCATCGGCCTTCCAGGGTGCTGGAGGGCCTGTCTCCTACTGTCTTCATTGCCTCTGCCCATGCTGGGGGAAGCTTTTAGCAACATCTGTGTTATCCAAACCTAGGCTGAGTCGGGATTCATCAGAGTCTCTTGCCATCAAAATCCATATCCTACCATTCCTGCAACCAGCCAGTCCCACACCAGCTCCCGGGATGGCCCAGCTGGAAGGCCGTGGACGAGAGTGCTATTGTCCACCAGAGAAAGCCCTCATCGGGCCTTCGCCCACCTCTCCTGCTACCACCTTAAAGTCCACCAGCTTCAGCACCAGGTCCTGCAAACCTGCATCTGGCCTGACCAACCAGGGGAAAGGTCCCATCAGACAGAATGGAACCATCAGCGCCTTGCATTTATCTTGTTTCCTCATTTGTAAAGTTGGAATAAAAACAGGAACTGCTCTGCCTCCCTATCTGCAAATAACAAAGGGTGATTTGTAAGGATGAAAAAGAAAACATTATACAGGTCTTGGTTGTAACTGCCGTGACCCAAAAAACAGCCAAACTCCAACCACATCTTCTGACCCCAAAATCAGTACTGGTTGCGTGAGCACCAGACTGTGGGGGAGATGCGACCAGTTAAAACTATTGCCCCCTGTCCCCACCTGGCTGTTCCGCACCCAACGACCCCCTCAGTTGGGATAAGAAGTTAGGCTAAGTGTCCCTGCTGTCTGCGGCAGGCAGCCGTTAGGGCCTGGAGGGCGCCGCAGCCAGTGGGTGGACAGACTCCAGGACAGGATAGAGAGGCCCGCCGGCGAATAGCCCCGAGCATTTGCCCTCCTGTAGGTGTGTCTGCAGCTGGGCACCGAGGGCCATCCATCACACACGCACTGAAAGCCTAACCACAAATACAAACCTCAGCCTCCTCCCTGTTCTGAAAACAATATAGGCCATTTGTTTACTTCTAAATACATTTATAAACTTCTCAGAGGGGAGGGCAGCCTCTTGATCATGTGAACACGTGCCTACAGCAGCTTTCAAAGCAAATCAGGGTCTCAAGCTTCTAAAGGATTCTAATCTGGACAATCTCAACTGATGTAAAAGAAATAAATAAAAATGCGTTAAAATGCAAACTGAAAAAGTCGAGCAACTAAAGTACTAGTCAAGGAGAAAAAAAAAAGAAAGAAAATTGTATTTACTTAAATGTTGGCCCAACACCGTAACGAAAACTGGGTTTCATTTTTCCCCCAGCCTGGACCCAGTTCCAACAAATCCTGGGGATTTTGCTAGGGAAGCCGCGGGGACACCTAAGTGATCTAGCGCCCTCTGGTGACCCTTTCTGGCACTTGACATGATTTGGCAAATGCTTGAAAAAAGGGCCTATTAAAACAGAAATTTGGTGCGAAAAATTCCCAAAGATCCTGCAACCACAGCAACAAGAATTACCCAGTTGCCAGTCCTACCGTCATATAAAGCACTGTGATAAGGGCGGCTAACAGGCTTGATATTATCACCCCTGCTTTGATGTCCGATCTTCTAAGCTACAACTACCATTGGTGACCCATACCTCACCAGTGCATTCGGTTCTAAATGGTTAAAGTACTCTCCCCCTCCTCGTCCTCTCCAGTCTTTATAATCTCTTTGTGGTATAAGAGAGGGCAGTAGTCATTCTCCCATTTTACAGGTAAGAAACTGAGTCTTAGATCTGCCAAGTTACTCGGCATGACTAGAGGGCCTAGACCTTTGGAGCAATTTCTCTCTCTGTGACTTACCATGGACAAGGATGAGCATAGCGGTCTACCACTGAAACTCTGCCCAAGAGCCTCTGAGTTCCAGAAGGGATGGCAGAGAACAAGCTTTGAGCAGTTTGTTTATAGTAAATATTTATTTTACATTTACTTCTGCTTATAAGAATAACTCAGACTCAAAGATTTTGTCAAACATTTCATAAAAGGATATAAAACTTACCTAGAATCCCACGGCCCACCAGTAATCATTATTAATATTTTCATATATTTCTTTCTCATTATTTTCTTAGCGGTGGGGTGTATTTTTGAAAAATTAGGGTTAGATTGAACATCTAATTTTTAAAAGGTTTCATTTATTTATTTACTTGAGACAGAGAGTGGGAGGGAGAGCACCAGCAGGGGTGGGGGCAGAGTGAGAGGGAGAAGCAAACTCCCCACTGAGCAGGGAGCCTAAGGCAGGATGCCACCCCAGGACCCTGAGATCACAACCCTTGCCAAAGGCAGATGCTTAACCAACTGAGCCATGGAAGCACCCCTGAACATCTAATTTTTGTCCTATTTT